AGGAAGGTCGTGAGATCAAAATGGATCAGGAGAAATATATCGTGGAAAAGGTGGAGCCGGTGCATCTTTCGAAGGGTCGACGGTCCGCAAAGAATGCTCCCCTCAACGAAGAAGAGTTCAAGAACTTCCACAGCATGCTCTACAAGGCGAGTTGGCTGGCTCATCAGACGAGACCCGAGGCGTCAGGAGTGGTCTCTATCCTATCAAGTCGACTACATCAGGCCACGGTGAATGACGCGATCATGCTCAACAAGCTGGTTGGCCACCTGAGAAGCACATCCAAGCAACCCCTGCGCATCAAGGGCTTCAATCGAGAAGAGATGAAGTTCATCGGCATCAGCGATGCAGGTGGTGTGGACGGGGACATCAGGGGCTTGGGCAAGGACGGGTTACCTGAGGACCCTGTCCAAGGCGCTTGGCTAGTGCTTGCTTCAGATCTTCTTCCAGCACATGATCTGAGGATCAACGTCAGCACCCTCTCCTGGAGATCAACGAAGCTGAAGCGGCGGGTCACGAGCACTATGGCGGGGGAGACACTGTCCATGTCTCAGTGCTTGGGAGAAGTGGAATGGATGCAGATCTTCTACAGAGATTTGGCGTTTGGAGACGTACGAGTTCAACAATGGCAGGAGAGCCTCGTGCCATTCCTCGTCTACCTGCCGGAGGAATGTGAACTTCTGGCACGACAAGAGCAGTGCCAGATCACAGACGCCAAAAGTCTGTATGACGCCATTTTCAAGCAATGCCCGGCGTCAAGGCAGGACAGACGCACGGCATTGGAATTGGCGGTGATCGTGGACTCCATCCAGAAGGCCGGCAGTGAGATCCGCTGGACGCCGCATCAACGCATGCCCGTCGACATGCTCACGAAGGTGGACTTCGCGAAGACCAATGGTGCGTTGTTACATCTCTTGAGGACGGGCCAGCTTAGGATCGACAAGGAAGACGTGGAGATGATGCGTCGGAAGAGAAACGACGCGGCGAGATCCAGGTCCAGGAGAAGCACCGAGAAGCTGCTGGCGGAGGAAGAGGAGCTCTATTACAACACTATCATCAGCAATCTCGTGTGGTCAACATAAAATTGGTGGTGCTGCAAATGTGGCCCACCGAGTAACCATTGTATAGAGGCATGGTGGCACTTGACCACACGCAGCTGCAATCACGCAGCCTCCTTTGGCACAAAAGGCTCCGTCAGCCATTGGGTTGCTTCCCCGCCGTGTTGTTTCTCAGTTTCCACTTTCCACTCCACACTTCACACTCCACAATCCACACTCCACACTTTACACTTTACCCTCCACACTTTACACTCTACACTTGACACTCTACACTTTACACTCTACACTTTACACTCCACACTCCTCACTCCACACTTTACACTTGACACTCCACACTTTAGACTCCATACTTTACACTCCAAACCCTACACTCTACACTCCACACTCTACACTTCGCACTTTACAATTTACAATTTACACTTTATACTCCACACTTTACACTCCACGCTCTACACTTTACACACTCTACACTTTACTCTCCACACTTCACAATTCACACTCTACACTCCACACTTTACACTCCACACTCCACCACACTCTACACACTACACTCTACACACTACACTCTACACTCTACACTCTACACTCTACACTCTACACTTTACACACTCCACACTTTACACCCCACACTTCACACTTTACACTCCACACTCCTTACTTTACACCCCGCACTCCACACTCTACACTTTCCACTCCACACTCCACACTCGACATTTTACACTCCACACTCCGCACTCTACACTTTACACTCTACACTTTATACTTGACACTTTACACTCCACACTTTACACTCCTGATTCCACACTTTACACTCCACACTCTACACTGCACACTCTACACTTTACACTCCACACTTTACACTTGACACTCCGCACTTTACATTCCACACTTTACACACTTTGCACTCCACACTCTACACTCTACACTCCTCACTCCACACTCCACACTCTATACTCCACACTTTACACTTTACACTTGACACTCCACACTTTACACTCCATACTTTACACTCTAGACTCTACACTCCACACTCCACACTTAGCACGCCACCTTCTTCCATATTCCACAGTCTACGGTGCACTGGTATGGTAACAGGATGTAACAGGGGAAAAATGTACAAGACTGTTCAAATAAACTGTTTCAGAAAAGTGTTGTGTGTGACTGCATATCCATGTGTTTCGACATCTGTGCCATTAACATACGTGTGAGCACACGGGTTCGTGGGCTGCATCTTGTTTTGTCCTTGTGCCTTAAATAGCCCGAATGTGTAGCAAGGGCTCCATAGGGCTCCCATTTCACTCTGGGGGTTTGTGGGTTGTGTGTTCGCTCGACGTTGCACAACTGCAACCGTCCGCATCCGTTCGCGTGAGGGCTCTATGGCCGCGCCTCTGGGGACTCTTTTGGAGGTTTCTTTGTTTCGTGTGGCGTGGCGCTTTGTGACATCCCAACATGTGTCTGCAAATGTCATAACGTGTCGAAAGCTGTGGTTACATCCATGTTCATTGCGCGGCAGGCACAGCATTTTAGACGTGTCGCCTTGCCTTCTTTTTTTGCGAATCGCATTGTCCGGGCTGTGTCACGTGGTGGCAACGTGCAAAGTCAAAATTCCGTGGCAGGCGTGGCCTTTTGTGACATGTGCTGGAAATTAGCAGAAGCCACGCACGAAACATCAATTTTGAGGTGTGATCCTTGGGGTAATTACAAAGCGTGAAAATTTGAAGAGTCGCGCGAAACGCTTGTTTTGAGGCTCCGACGTGTCTCATCTCGATTCTCTGGTTTTCTTGTGGCATTGCCGTGTCTATGGGGGAAGCTGCAAAACCTCTCATTTTCGAAGATTCAAAAAAGGTTGTAATGTCGTGTTGCGTGGCAGGCGTGGCACTTCGTGACATTCACATGTGTCTGCAAACGTGTCGAAACTCGTTTTGCGTGATAGGCGCAATACTTTGGCAAGGTTTTCAGACGATGACTTTCATTTTTCGTGGCAGGCGCAGCACTTTGGAGACCATTCGGGTTCGCATCTTGTTCTATTCCACCTGTCTATTGCGCCTGCCACGAAAAAGTGAGGCCAGGTCATACGAAGTGCTGCGCCTGTTGCGCAAAATCATCTTAGCAAACCTGAAGATCTGATGCTCCAAAATGCAACCCCTCTCAGGAAATCAGCGCCTTGACTTCCTAACATCCTTGATGAACATGTGTTTTGTACTGCGTCTGCCACGCAAAATGCATCTTTGCAGATCCTCTTCAAATGTCCCACGCCTGCCATCGGTTTTGGAAATGCTACAAAACCCTCACGTTTTACTCACTTTTGGCAAGGTGCACAATCCCTTGCGCCTGCCACGCGAAACCACATCTGAACCTTCAAAAATGGTCCGAGCATGTGGTGTTTTTAACATTTTGACTTGGACATGTGTTTCGCGCCGCGACAACGCGCACTTTTTCGACATCTCGACTTCCAAAAGTGTTCCGAGAATGGTGTTTTGTACAGTTTGACTTCAAAATGTGCTTCGCGCCACAACGGCGTGCAATTTTTCGACATGTCAACTTCCAAAAGTGCTCCGACGTTGGTGTGTTTTGTACATTTTGACTTGGAAGCGTGCTTCGCGCCACAGCGGCGTGCAATTTTTCATCTCTCATATGACCACATGGCTCCGCACCCGCCGCTTTAGCGAACCTACTTTTCGACCCCTGGAGCCACAAATCATTGGAAAACACAGTGTTTTGCGACTTTCCTACCTTTTCGCGCACCTGCATCTTCTCTCTTCTCAGTTTTTCTCTTCTCTGATCTTCTCTCTTCTGCTCTTCTCCTCTCTGACTCTTGCCACCTGTGCTTTTCCATCTGTCCATACTGTCGGAAGTTTGACTTCTAAACTTCCTTCGGCAAATCTACTACATTACGCTACACTAATTACATTACGCTACACTACAACTACAACTAAAACTAAAACTACATTACACTACACTACACTAATTACACTACACTATGCCACACTACACTAGACTACAAGTACAACTGCAACTACAACCATCACTACACTACGCTACGCTACGCTACACTAACTACAACTACAGCTACGGCTACAACTACACTACTTCACACTACATTGTTCTAGGCTACACTACAGCATACAAGACTACAGCACACAACACTACACCACATTTGATTTCATTAGGCTGGTTCCGCCACACCACAACTACAACTGCAATTACAACTACAACTACCACACAACTACAACCCCACTACGCTACAACTACAACTACAGCTGCGCTACAGCAAACTACATCCAGCAGTTGTGGGTGAGGTGACCACTGCAACCATTGCAAGCACCCCAAAAAGCACAACTCCAACCCCCTCTCCGTCCATCAGTGGATTCGCTCTGCCATCCATGCATCACAACAACCCACCTCTCCTATAGTGTCCTATCTTTGAAACTTCCGCCACCGCCTTGTGCAGTACTACTGGTACTTTACACTCCGCACTCACTCTCCGCTTTTTGCTTTGCACGTCACACTTTCCACTTGACACTCCCAACTAGACACTATACAGTTCACACTCCACACTTCACACTTGACACTCCGCAGTCTACACTTTACGCTCCGCATTCCACACTTCACACTTGACACTCCACACTCCACACTTTACACTTCAAAGTTGACGCTCCGCACTCCGCACTTTACACTCCACACACTACACTTGCAGCCACGGGTTGCAACACGGGTTGCAACATCTATGAGGTTTTCCTCTCTATGTGTTTCCACATCTGTGCCATTAACATACGTGTGAGCATTCGGGTTCGTGGGCTGCATCTTGTTTCGAGCGTCTCCTTGTTTTCGACGGTGAAGCGGATCTTCGGATCGGAGTCTCGGCATGGGATCTTGGGATCTTGGGATCTTGGGATCTTTGCTGCGTTGCCACGTTGCTGTGCTGTGCCACGGCGGTCGCCGCAGGAAGCGCTGCGGCGTGGGCTTCGGTTTCGGCGGGAAGCTGCTCTCCTTCGGCGCCAAGGCGGACGAAACAAAACAAAGCAAAATCCACAAAGAAAAACCGAAATCATTTACATATTTACACACACATTTATATATATATATATATTTCTTTGTCAGATATTCAGATGTAATTAGATTCGTTTATTTATTTGGCATCTGGCTCTTATTCGGCGTATGTGGAATGTGGAACATAGTATTATCATAGCATTATGTTAACTTTCGCAGCACGAAGACACGATGTCATTTCTCGAAACTATAGGCACTTGATGTGAGCAATTGTGAACATCAGTGAAACACGACAATCAGATACCATCAGAAGCAATCAGCATATGGTGACAGGATGTCAAACGACTGCCACCATCTCTGTGTGCTCAACACCTGCCACGAGGTCAGGTCACACGAGGTCAGGAGGTCACGAAGTCAGGGGGTCAGGAGTCAGGAGGTGAGGAGGTCCGGAGGTGAGGAGGTCACGAGGCGAGCAGGTCACGAGGTCACGAGGTCATGAGGTCACGAGGTCAGGAGGTCATGCAGGAGGTCAGGAGGTCACAAGGTCATGAGGATGACGAGGCTAGGAGGTGAGGAGGTCAGGAGGGCAGGAGGTCAAGAGGCCAGGAAGTCACGAGGTCAGAAGGTTTGAAGGTGACAAGGTCAGGAGGTCCGGAGGTGAGGAGGTAAGGAGGTCACGAGGTCACGAGTTCCGGAGGAGGAGGAGGTAAGGAGGTTAGGAGGTTATAGGAGATCACGAGGTCAGGAGGTCATGAGGTCAGGATCGAGGTCACGAGGTTTATAGGAGGTCACGAGGTAAGGAGGTGACGAGGTCACAAGGTCAACCAACTGTCAGTGTCACTTGATTGTCTTGGACAACAAAAGTATGAGGATTTCGTAGGCCGACAAGGAGAAAGTAGAGATGTTTTCTTCAGGTCTTTGCAGCGTTTTCGCTACACGCACGATATAAATTAAACGCATAAGACACGAACTGAGTCAAACACAAATGTGGTTCAGAGTGGTTCTAGGCACGCTTCGCAATGTGCATGTAAAACAACACGAAGCAAAACAAGCGGATGACATGTGGATCAAAGGGATCAAAGGGATCAAAGTGATCCCAGTATTTGAATCATTTTCAAGCCACATTCATGGTGTTTCTATGTGTTTCTGGTTCATGCCGCAGGAGTTAAACGCTTTCAGGTTTTTGCTGTTTGCAACTTTCTGTAACTCTTGCTAATGAAGCCGTTTAAAGACTCTGGTCGTCGGACATCCAATCATCTCTATCCGAATGCTATCTCCCGAATGGAGTGACATGGATTTCAACCCAAAAAAGGAGCAAAAGAGCATGTGCGTGCTGCAACTTCTTTGGCAGGATGATTCAAACTTCAAACAATGATGTCGGTATAGGTCGATTTACATGTTGTGGCACGAAACCCTTCTTGTAGCACGTGGGCGCATGAATGAAGGGTGGTCGAAAGGGTTCGTTGAAAATCAGATGTGTGTTTGGCAGCAGCTTAATTATGTTGGGCTGTTTGTTTTGGTCATATGGACAGTTGAAGTAAATTGTGTAATAAATCCATCCCCCTTAATTCAAATGTATTTCATAGAATTGATGAAAAGAGGTGAAAAGTGGGTTTGGACGTGCCATTTCTTGGGACAAAATAGCAGCGGTGGGTGACCTAAATGGACACGAATAAATTCAAGAACAGGGCCTCACTAGCTTGAAAGAACGAGGAAACATGTGCAGACCCACTTGATAAGAGCATTTTGTGGCTGCAAAATGGGTTCGCGAAGCCTTTCCAAGACACTTTTAAGGAAGGGAGGGCTGTTTTTTTCGTTTTTTTGTTTGTTTTTGTTTTCCAGCCTGGCTTTGTGGCTTTTGTGGCTTCTGTGGCTTTTGTGGGTGTGTGGCTTTTGTGGCTTTACCATGCTTTGCCATGCGTTACCATGCTTTACCATGCTTTACCATGCTTTATCTATCTATCTATCTATCTACCCATCTATCTATCTATTTATCTATCTATCTATCTATCTGTCTATCTATCTATCTACCCATCTATCTATCTATCTATCTATCTATCTGTCTATCTACCTACCTATCTATCTATCTATCTACCTATCTATCTTTATATACACACCTTGTATCCCTACATGTACCTTAATCCAACCCCTCAACCAACTTTAAACCGACCATAAACCAACCCTAAATAACCATAAATAGCCCAACATAACCCTAAATTACTCTAAGCCAACCATAAACCAACCCAACATAACCCTCCCTAAATAAACCCTAAACCAACCCTAAACTAAATAACCCTAAACCAACCCTAAATAAACCCTAAAATAAACACTGAACGAACCCTAAATAAACCCTAAACTAACCCTAAATAAACACTAAACCAACCCTAAACCAACCCTAAACAAACCCTAAACCAACTTTAAACAAACACTAAACCAACCCTAAATACCCCCAAATAAACCCTGAACAAACTTTAAATTGACCGTAAACCAACCCTAAATAAACCCTAACCCAACCGTAAATAAACCCTAAACCAACCCTAAACCAAACCTAAATAAACCCTAAACCAACCCCAAATAAACCCTAAACCAAACCTAAACATAACCTAAATAACCCTAAACCAACCATAAACCAACCGTAAATAAACCCTAAACCAACCCTAAATAAATCTAAACCAACCCTAAATAACCCTAAATAAACCCTAAACCAACCGTAAATAAACCCTTAACGAACCCTAAAATAACCCTAAATAAACCCTAAAATAACCCTAAACAAAACCTAAACCAACCCTAAAATAACCCTAAACAAAACCTAAACCAACCCTAAAAAGACCCTAACCAACCCTAAATAGACCCTAAACCAACCAACACTATGATAGCAGCCAATGCCACTATTTAGACCCAACACGGTTGTGTTTCAACCTATATTCTACATGTTCACCAGGTGCATGTTATGCATGGAAAAATCGATCGAAACCATGGAAAAATCAATTGAAACCATGGAAAAATCAATTGAAACCATGGAAAATTTAATGAAAATTATGGAAATCAATGAACACTATGGAAATACCGGCTAAAACCATGGAAAAATCGATGAACAGTGCAAATGGCACATTTTAGCTCCATCAGCAAAGTACAAGTTTTTGCTCCAAAATGTAGCAAATAACACGGAAAAGTGCCCCAAACTGAAAAACAAGAAGTCTGAGACATAGATTGCGAGTTCCTTTACAACTTTGCATTGCAAAAACTGGATGCAAACAACTGCTACAACATGACTGTCGCATAAATATGCATAAACCATATTGAAATCACATTGTGCGGTTCTGGTTTTAGGCGGACCACTCACATCTCCAGTCGATCGGACAAAAAAATCATGCCGAATCATGCTCACACCAGGTCAAGACTACATCCAAACACCGACTCTACAACGACAATGCTACAATGACTCTGCAATGACTCTACTACGCACAGCATTGCGCAGGGGCCGAATAGAACATTACAAGATGAACGTTGCGCAATTTACAGAAACTGAGACACTAGTATTTTCGGACTTTGAAGAATGGAGCAAGCCAACTAAGCCAACATCGTTATTGTTTCCATCAAAAAGGATCAAAGTTCACCAACGTTGCAGCAAGGGCCACTTATTTTGTGGTGGATCATGCCCAGGGCATGGTAGTAAAACTGGGCACTCACTGAAAAGCACAGAGGGATACAATGGATACAAATGGTTGTGCAAATCTGGCGTTTTCGGAACGTTTTTGTTCTCTCCAGTGAGACACGTGACACACATGACACACGTTGTCGACTGCCAGATTTCATGAGGCATCTCAATAGCAAGCACAAGACATGCAAGCCATTATTACACATTGTTATTGAAATTTCCATATTGAATGTATTTAACAATAACTATGTTTACATACTCTTGCATACTTGGAACAATGAGGAATTTCAACACTTACAGTCATGAGAAAGCACGTGTCATCTATATAAAAGCGCTTAATCAATCTTAGTGACTGAACCAGATATTTCTTCCTGAGAATTAGTTTCTTGTTATGAATTGTTTCAACGTGTCATGCAGTAATTCTCGCTGCATAGGCGTGTATTTTTGTATGTGAGACACATTTATTCGTTCATACATGTGACTCGATCACATCTGTGTCAGTTGTGACTTTATTGTTGCTATCTTGTCACTCTGTTGTCACTTTGTTGTCATTCTGTCGTCACAATGTTGTCACGTTGTTGTGACTTTGTTGTCACGTTGTTGTCAAGTTGTCGCTTTGTACCATTTGTATCCATCTATCATGTTCTGTACCTTTGTGCTACATCAAGCTCGATCATGATACTAGTGCGGTATAGGTAGTATAGCCCTCCTTGTGCCGCAAGCAATGATCTCAAGCTCAATTTGGGATTGGTGAAATTGGTGAAACTCGGACAGGCCACAGATGCTGCTAAGCTGCCGTCCATTGCTCAGGGCGGAGAAATGGGCGGAGAAATGGAGATCGAACTACGGCGACAGCGATGTTTTCGACTCATTCTGGAGTAATCATGACTACGGCGACTTGTAACATCTTGTAATCTTCTTTGACGGTGCAACAGGACAAAAGGGCACAACCAGTTCTCCATGGGAAATTGGTACGCAGCTTTTTTGGGGTTTGGCCTACTTGACTGGCCGGAGGGCTCCACTCATGTCCCTCTCAAGAGAATTGTACGAACAAAGAACAAAGAAAAACCTAAAAAAAATGTAGTGTGGTCTCAAAAAATGTGGTACAACATGGCGCATTGTACTGCCCGATCCCATCCGATCCCATCCGATCCCATCGGATCCTTAGCTTTTAGGGCTTTTTTAGCATGCTTTTTTAGCATGCTGCAGATGCAGGACTGCATCCTTTTGCCATTCCCTGGTGGTGCCGAGTGAGCCAGAGATCGCTAGAGCCTGAGCGATGCATCTTGATGCCATTTGATGCCAATGATTTGGAATGTTCTCTTGAGCTGAGACTGAAACATATTGAAACATATTGAAACACCTGACAAAACGGAAAACGGTAGGGATGTGTTTTATTGTAACTGTAAGGTACCTGAGTTTCATACACTTTAAATGTAGGGGAGAGTCGAAGTCACTTGGAGCAAAAGAGACCACATTTTCTACTTGAGAATCTGCAAAGAAAATCCACACTTTCAACTCCCGCCTGGTGCTCCAAGCAGTTTCACCGTTCTTCGTTTTTGTGTGTGTGAAACTGTGGTGAACCGGTGAACCGGTGAACCTGCTCTTTCTTCATGTTTCTTCCGCATGCATCCTCGTCCTCGTCCTGTCAGATCCTATCATTCTGTTCTTTTGCCCTCAGGCCAATTGTATCGAACCAGTTTTTTGTAGGAACCTGGTCATGAAAACGACAAGAGACTGGAAACCTCGCAACATTTCTGCCACTCTTTTCGGATTTCGATCCACAATGGACTGGAAACCTCGGAAACCTCCAAAAGACCTCCAAAAGAATGCGGCTCTTCGAACATCTTCTGTCGCGTCAAATTTCTGTCCCCACTGTGACCGGTTTCATCCGATTTCCCTCGCCCTACGGCAAGAATTCTGCCCGGTCCGGCTCAAAAATTAAACACAAAGAAAGAACATTCTGTTGACTTCTGTCAAAACTGGATCATCCTATTTTTTAGTTGGCATTGTTTTGTCCTTTGATGATACTGATATCTACTGCAAGCTCCATGAAGTCCGGCTTCTCTGAGAGATCTGGGGAGCTCCACTTGTGACCCAAAACTCTTTCAGATGCCACGGGAATCCCGAACCCAAGACCTACTTTTGTACCAAAATTGGCCCCTTACATTTTTTTTTTGGTAAGACTTGCGTCCAAGTTTTGGCCTTGATCCCATGACGTTTGTCCACCCTAATTACGTACCCAAAGCTGGGAACCAACCCACTGTATTCTAACTGTATTCAATATTATTCAATATTATTATATTATTCACTAAAATGGAGGTATCTAATTGTAGTAACATGTAGTAACTGCTTCTCATCCCCCCTTGCTCGCCTCTGATCTCTATGCAGTCTATACATTTTGTTTGCATTTGTGTTGGTCCCTGTTCTGGTCATGTGCAGATAACTGTCCGATGATGGACAGTTATCCCCTGAAAGCTAGCATCACCTAGCTGAAGTTGCTCTTGCTTCAGCAAGGAATAGGGGGCTCTTGCTTCAGCAAGGAATAGGGGGCTGAAATCATGTATCGCGTGAAACTTTCACATAAGGGGGCGGGGTTCTATTCTCCTGTTCTTTTCCTCAGAGAATGGAACTTTCATCACCGCCTTGACCAGTGGAATCTGATGAGAGATGAAAAGCCTGGTGAGATTTTGAGAAGTTCTGGAAGTTTACGAATTTTCTGAGGACATTCTGGACGCCGACGTTTTCAAAAACGTAGTGTTGAGACGTGGACGAAGTGTTGACGAAGTGTTGACTGCGACATTTTGTGTTTGAAGTGTTGATTTTGTTACGTTCGAAGCACCGCCTCGAGGTGCCCACTGCGGATCTCTTTGAGCATTGGATCGCTGAACGCCGGCTGCGCGAGTACTGCCACGACAAGGACGGCGACGTGATGCGACGTGATGCGACGTGATGCGACGCGCACGTGTCAGATGTCACGTGGACATGTCAGATGCGAAAGCATTCTGCCGCATTCGAGATGTGGTGCGACGTTTTGACACTGTGTTTTATGAAATGTGGCAGAAAGCATGTCTTTTGGTGAAAGAAAAATGACGAAAATGATTCGCAAAGTTTCTGCATGTTTGTACACTTCAAATCTTGACGAATGTGGAAGAACGGAATTAGATGATATTACAGCTTATTACACATGCATTGCACATGCATTGCAGTGAAGTAACGCACCTGGCTGGTAATTTGCACTGCCCAGACCCGACGATGTGGTGGAGTGGCTTCACACGAAGGCCTTCGCTGATCATACTTCAAACGTACTTCAGACATACTTCAGAAATACTTCAGATATACTTCGGACATACTTCAAAAAATACATGAAACTACTCAACATACTTCAGACACCTTCAGACAAATGATTGTCGAAAACTAATTATACCAGTAGTACCGCACAAGGCGGTGGCGGAAGTTTCAAAGACAGCAAACTATAGAAGAGGTGAGTTGCCGTGATGCATGGATGGCAGAGCGAATCCAGTGATGAACCGAAAGGTGGTTGGAGTTGTGCTTGTTGGAGTGGTTGCAGTGGTCTCCTCACCCACAACTGCTGAATGTAGTGTGGTGTAGTGTAGTTGTAGTTATAGTGTAGTGTAGTGGTAGTTGTAGTAGTTGCAGTTGTAGTTGTAGTTGTAGTGTGGCTGAAGTTGAAGTTGAAGTTGAGGTTGAGGTTGAAGTGCAGTGGTAGATGTAGTGTAGTTGAAGTTGAAGTTAAAGCAGTTTAAAAGTCTAACTTCCGTGTAACGGATTTTGAAAAATCACAATCGCCACTACCACGCGCCGCTATCACTACCACCACTACCACCACTACCACCACTACCACCATTACCACCACTACCACCCCAACCGCCACAACCACCACTACCACCACTACCACCACTACCACCACCATCACGATCACCACTATCACAGCAAAGAGACCTCAACAGCAGAGAGATCCCACAGCAGAGAGATCTCACAGCAGAGAGATCTCACAGCAGAGAGATCTCACAGCAAAGAGATCTCACAGCAAAGAGATCTCACAGCAGAGAAGTCTCACAGCAGAGAGATCTCACAGCACAGAGATCCCACAGCAAAGAGATCTCACAGCAAAGAAGTCTCACAGCAAAGAGATCTCACAGCAGAGAGATCTCACAGCAGAGAAGTCTCACAGCAAAGCGATCTCACAGCAAAGAGGTCTCACAGCAGAGAGATCTCACAGCAGAGAGATCTCACAGCAGAGAGACGTCTCACAGCAAAGAGATCTCACAGCAAAGAGATCTCACAGCAGAGAGATCTCACAGCGAAGAGATCTCACAGCAAAGAGATCTCACAGCAGAGAAGTCTCACAGCAGAGAGATCTCACAGCAGAGAGATCTCACGGCAGCGAGATTGCACAGCAAAGAGATCTCACAGCAGAGAAGTCTCACAGCAGAGAAATCTCACAGCACAGAGATCCCACAGCAAAGAGATCTCACAGCAAAGAAGTCTCACAGCAAAGGGATCTCACAGCAAAGAGATCTCACAGCAGAGAAGTCTCACAGCAAAGCGATCTCACAGCAAAGAGGTCTCACAGCAGAGAGATCTCAAAGCAGAGAGATCTCACAGCAGAAAGGCTTCACAGCAGAGAGATCTCACAGCAGAGAGACGTCTCACAGCAAAGAGATCTCACAGCAAAGAGATCTCACAGCAAAGGGATCTCACAGCAGAGAGATCTCACAGCAGAGAAGCCTCACAGCAAAGCGATCTCACAGCAAAGAGGTCTCACAGCACAGAGATCCCACAGCAAAGAGATCTCACAGCAAAGAAGTCTCACAGCAAAGGGATCTCACAGCAGAGAGATCTCACAGCAGAGAAGTCTCACAGCAAAGCGATCTCACAGCAAAGAGGTCTCACAGCAAAGAGATCTCACAGCAGAAAGATCTCACAGCAGAGAAGTCTCACCGCAAAGAGCTCGCACGGCTTCTCTTCTCTGATCCGCTTTCTTCTTCTCTTCTCTGATCTGCTTTCTTCTTCTCTTCTCTGATCTGCTTTCTTCTTCTCTTCTCTTCTCTTCTCTTCTCTTCTCTTCTCTGACTCTTCCCACCTCTGCTTTTTCATCTGTCCATATTGTCGGAAGTTTGACTTCTAAACTTCCTTCAACAAAACTACCCTCTGGTAACCTAATGGCAATGCCAATCGCGGTTTTGATGGGAGACCATTCCACACATGGTGTTTTTCCATTGCCAGGTTTGATGATCGGATGGTAATCAAGATTCGTATGCTGACACATTTTCTTTTCGTGTTCACATTTTTCACATCAGAAAAGCAACATGTCTTTCAATGAGTTACATATGTTACGCCTGCGGCGTGGAGAAGCGCAGAAGGATGAAGAAGAAATGCTGAAGGATGCAGAACGTCAATGAACGTATTTGAAGGATTATGAGGGTATGAGGTGTATGGAGATTGTATTTTTGTGACAATTCATGTCAAATCGTGACAACCTGCGATGCCGTGGCGTGCCGAGGCTTGATGTGGGAACTGATGGGTTCTCAGTTTGAGGAGATTTTGATCTTGATGTTTGTGGATGTTTTTGGATGTTTGTGGATGTTTGTGTTTTCGGCATCGAGCAATTTAAAAAACTGTGCTATTGATCTTGACTCGAAAAGACTTGTCCTACCTGTCCGGGGTAGCCCAGTCTGACTTACAGGATTTTTGAGTTTGATTTGATCTTATTTGAATCTATTCGAATTCATTTGACACAGTCCAATTATATAAATTGTAGGGCTTTGCACACCGGCGATGCCCAGCTGTAGTAGTAGTAGTAGTAGTTGTTGTTGTTGTTGTTGTTGTTGTTGGTTGTTGGTTGTTGGTTGTTGGTTGTTGGTTGTTGGTTGTTGGTTGTTGTTGTTGTTGTTGGTGGTTGGTGGTTGGTGGTTGGTGGTTGGTGGTTGGTGGTTGGTGGTTGGTCGTTGGTGGTTGGTCGTTAGTCGTTGGTCGTTGGTCGTTGGTCGTTGGTCGTTGGTCGTTGGTCGTTGGTCATTGGTTGTTGGTTGTTGGTTGTTTGAGGTTGTGGTTGTGGTTGTGGTTGTTGTTGTTGTTGTTGTTGTGGTTGTGGTTGTGGTTGTGGTTGTTGTTGTTGTTGTTGTTGTTGTTGTTGCTGTTGTTGTTGGTTGTTTGTTTGTTTGTTTGTTGTTGGTTGTTTGTTGTTTGTTGTTTGTTTTTTTTAGTAGTTGTTTGTAGTAGTAGTAGTAGTAGTTGTTGTTGTTGTTGTAGTTGTAGTAGTTGTAGTAGTTGTAGTAGTTGTAGTTGTTGTTGTTGTTGGTTGTTGGTTGTTGGTTGTTGGTTGTTGGTTGGTGGTTGTTGGTGGTTGTTGGTTGTTGGTTGTTGGTTGTTGGTTGTTGGTGGTTGGTGCTTGGTGGTTGGTGGTTGGTGGTTAGTCGTTGGTCGTTGGTCGTTGGTTGTTTGTGGTTGTTGTTGTGGTTGTTGTTGTTGTTGTTGTTGTTGTTGTTGTTGTTGTTGTTGTTGTGGTTGTTGTTGTTGTTGTTGTTGGTGTTGTTGGTGTTGTTGTTGTTGGTGTTGTTGTTGGTTGTTGTTGGTTGTTGGTTGTTGGTTGTTGGTTGTTTGTTGTTTGTTGTTTGTTGTCTGTTGTTTGTTTTTTTTTAGTAGTAGTTTGTAGTAGTAGTAGTAGTAGTAGTAGTAGTAGTAGTAAGAGTCGTGAGTATTCCAGGCCAACAAGTAGCTCTAGAGTAGATTAGTAGATCAGGGCAGAGTACGAGAGTAGTATGTTCTAGGCGTAGGAGTAGTAACAGTAGTAACAGTAGTAACAGTAGTAACAGTAGTAACAGTAGTAACAGTAGTAACAGTAGTAACAGTAGTAACAGTAGTAACAGTAGTAACAGTAGTAACAGTAGTAACAGTAGTAACAGTAGTAGGAGTAGTAGGAGTAACAGTAGTAACAGTAGTAACAGTAGTAACAGTAGTAACAGTAGTAACAGTAGTAACAGTAGTAACAGTAGTAGGAGTAGTAGGAGTAGTAACAGTAGTAGGAGTAGTAACAGTAGTAACAGTAGTAACAGTAGTAACAGTAGTAACAGTAGTAACAGTAGTAACAGTAGTAACAGTAGTAACAGTAGTAACAGTAGTAACAGTAGTAACAGTAGTAACAGTAGTAACAGTAGTAGGAGTAGTAGGAGTAGTAGGAGTAGTAGGAGTAGTAGTAGTAGTAGTGTAGCAAAAGTAGTACTAATAGCAGCAGCAGTAGTAGTAGCAGTAGCAGCAGTAGTAGTAGCAGTAGCAGCAGTAGTAGTAGCAGTAGCAGCAGCTGTAGCAGTAGCAGTAGCAGTAGCAGCAGCAGCAGCCGTAGCAGTAGCAGTAGCAGTAGCAGCAGCAGTAGCAGTAGCAGTAGCAGTAGCAGTAGCAGCAGCCGTAGCAGTAGCAGTGGCAGTGGCAGTAGCAGTAGCAGCCGCCGTAGCAGTAGCAGTGGCAGTAGCAGTAGCAGTAGCAGTAGCAGCAGCAGCAGCAGCCGTAGCAGTAGCAGTAGCAGTAGCAGTAGCAGCAGCCGTAGCCGTAGCCGTAGCCGTAGCCGTAGCAGTAGCAGTAGCAGCAGCAGCAGCAGCAGCCGTAGCAGTAGCAGTAGCAGTAGCAGTAGCAGTAGCAGCAGCAGCCGTAGCAGTAGCAGTAGCAGCAGCAGTAGCAGTAGCAGTAGCAGCAGCCGTAGGCGTAGGCGTAGGCGTAGCCGTAGCCGTAGCCGTAGCCGTAGCCGTAGCCGTAGCAGTAGCCGTAGCAGTAGCAGTAGCAGTAGCAGTAGCAGCAGCAGCAGCAGCCGTAGCAGTAGCAGTAGCAGTAGCAGCAGCCGTAGCAGTAGCAGTAGCAGTAGCAGTAGCAGTAGCAGTAGCAGCAGCTGTAGCAGGAGCAGTAGCAGTAGCAGTAGCAGTAGCAGTAGCAGTAGCAGTAGCAGTAGCAGTAGCGGTAGCAGTAGCAGTAGCAGTAGCAGTAGCAGCAGCAGCAGCCGTAGCAGTAGCAGTAGCAGTAGCAGTAGCAGCAGCTGTAGCAGTAGCAGTAGCAGTAGCAGTAGCAGTAGCAGTAGCAGTAGCGGTAGCAGTAGCAGTAGCAGTAGCAGCAGCAGCAGCAGTAGCAGTAGCAGTAGCGGTAGCAGTAGCAGTAGCAGTAGCAATAGCAGTAGCAGTAGCAGTAGCAGTAGCAGTAGCAGTAGCAGTAGCGGTAGCAGTAGCAGTAGCAGTAGCAGTAGCAGTAGTAGTAGTTGTTGTTGTTGTTGTTGAGATTATTGTTATTGTTGTTATTGTTGTTATTGTTGTTATACTGTTAATGTTGTTTTTTGTTCTGATTGTTTTTAGGCACCTGCTTTTGGGGCGATGTGGGTAAACCCCACAAACCCCACTAGAATGTATTAGAACTATGCCTTCGAGGAGGTGAACAAAAATGTTCCGCTTGAACACTTTTGACTTCTATGGTTTGAGGAAGGTGGGTTTATGGACATATTTGTTTGATTGAAACAAACGCGAAGAGCGAAGAACATGTCAAAACACAATAAGAACCCATGTAGCAGATGAATCACGTGGAAATTTGCAAGAGAAAGGGAGTCAAATTCATGCAGCAACACAGCACACAAGCGACCACAAGTGGGCCTAGGTGGAAACAAGTGGCAAAACCGATGGAACAAAATAGGGGCAGAATTTCACGGATATTCTGGTCTTGAGTCGGTGCCGCGGGCCATCCGTGGGCCAGGAGGATGGTCGCAGCAAGGTTCCAACTTTGCTGGGTTTTGATCAGGTCAGGGACAGGGGCAGGGACTGCAGGGACTGCAAAGACTGCAGGACTCTGCAATGGGCAGAGCTGGACCATGCTGGACCTTTGTAAGTTGTGCTGAGCCATGTTAGGTTGTGCTACATTATGCAGGTGTTGGATGCGGGATAAAGACGTTGGAACTTTCAGAGTAGAGGTAGACAGACTTACATGAGTGAAACATGAGTGAAACATGAACTAAACATGGAGTCCTGAAAGATGTTGAAAGATGTTGAAAGATGTTGAAAGATGTTGAAAGATGTCCTAAAATTTGGAAGCCAAAGTGAGTTCCATGTGAGTTCCATGTGAGTTCCATGTGAGTTCGTTGAGTTTCAGGATCGCATCCTACAAGAGGCCCCAGCCGGGTGCTGCCGGGTGCCGGGTGCCGGGTGCTGCCGGGGATGTGGTGCCGGCTGCATCGGTGCTGGGTCGGTGCTGGGTCGTTGCGAGGCCGAGCGGCTCCTGGGCGCCAAACCGGGAAATCTCATGGGCCAAAGCCCTGAGGAGGAGCCGATCCGACGGTCGGAATGACGAATCCAAGATCTTAATTCGTAGGATAAATTCCATCCTACAGCTATCTTCAGCTACATCTTATCAAGATAGAGATCTTAATTCGTCTCGAATCAGATCAGATCTCAGATCTGTAGCGATGGAGAGACACATGACGATGAACGGATAGAGCAAAAACAACAGCAATGCTCCCTTTCCATTGCTCTGCAAATTGCTGTGTAATGCCTCTACACTGCGAGGAGCAAGCTCCAGCAGCTGCTGTTCCTTCGTTTGTGGCCTCAGACGTTCATGAATCACATGTAGTTTTCAGAGTTGTTTGAAGATGTTTGAAGATGTTTGAAGATGTTTGAAGATGTTTGAATGTTTGAATTGCAATTTTGACAAAAATTCAGAATGTCAATTTTCAGTTTCTTGAGACTGTCATTTTCGGAGTTTGTCATTCCTCCTTTGTGTGCATTTCGCCTTTGCATTCTAGCTGCAAAACCGCTTCTTCATCTCCTCCATAATGTCTACGTCACATGTTCTTGCACTGTTATCACTCACACTCCGTACCTCTTTCCTTCATCTGTGGGTTGTGTGGGTTGATGTACTCGTTACAGCAAGTTAGGACATGAACATCACAAATAAATTGCTGCAGATGTCTGCTGAATTTCTGCGTGAGAAGATTAGATCACCTGGAAACTCGAGGCTTTTCCAGGATGGCACATGCATTGTACTCCAAGAGTGTCTGCACATGTATGCATGTAGATGCACACGAAATTTGAAATAGATGTAACATGATGTAACATGATGTAACAATTCATTTGTCCATCTAAATTGCCATCTATTTCATCACCATGGTGGTGCTTTGGTGGACGTGGCCTTCAGTAGCCTTCCTGTAAAACCTGCTTTGGAGAAAGGAACCTCTGTATGTTTCTTGATTTCCCCCGGTCGGGCAGATACTCGATTTCGTTGAACTTTTGTCTTTGTCATATCCTTGACTCGCTTCGAACCCAGTATTTTATGCGAGGTCTGGACATGGAAATTTCAACTGCTCTTGATTGGTTTCCCTGGTTCCTTTCTATCTTACTATCTTGGCCGACTTTTAGCATCTCAACAAGGGTTGGTTGCCACGGTTGCTCTGTTTTGCGCATTGTGTTCATTGCGTTCATTGCGTTCATGTCCTGAGCAAGCGAGGTTGGGACCGGAACTAGATCTCACCCAGGTGGTGCAGTGCACGAGTCTCCACATAAAACCAAAGTGGGGGCTGCGAAGGGACTTGAAGAAGGATAGAAAAGAACACGGCAAGGGGCAATCGGAGGGGCAATCAAGTGGACAATGTGGACATCCGAATGCTCAAGTGAATCCGCTTAGCGGACGACTCTTTGTTTCTTACTGCTTCGTGTTGCGAACCTGGGCAGGCGGAGAGCTTCTTCGAGGAACTCTCCGCACCACCGCCCCGTTTTTCAAATCCATCAGATCATGTCAATTCATGCCATGTGACACGATATGGTGTGATGCGGCATATGAGGCACGAGGTGTGACATGATGTGAGGTCCGAACAGACGAGACCAGCCTGATGTGCCAGGCGTCTACCGAACAGAAGAAACGGGAAGAGATGGAGCGCGAGGAACAGAAGAAAAAAAACAAAACAGAAGAGGCACGAGCAGCATGCTTGCACATAATTCCAAAAGATTGATATCTGATTTCTCACGCAAGCAGTCTGGTTGCAAGCAGCTGCCAAGTCACTTAACAAGTCACTTTACATCGTCTCAAAATGATTCAAAACGCGACACGCGTTGAAAAATGGTTGAAAAATGCTACAGTTGAAGTCTCTGGAAGTCTCTGTAGCGCTGAAACTGTTTCGGTGTTTCCTGAGATGCTGTCAGAGCTTCCACGGGCGATGCGGTAGGGGTTGGGTGTTTTTGCAAAACACCGCTTTTTCTATACAAACTCGAGACTCTGCTTTCCAATGGTTTGGAGGAAGTACACTTTTTGGGGGGCCTTTTTTGGCACCCCAGCATCAAACATAATATAGTGGGTGTCTTGCTTCATTTTAAAAACACTCACAGCAAAAAACATCACCAATAGTTTTCTGGCCACGTGGCTAAAAGAACCACTGTGTTTACAATTTTTTTTGGACAGCGGAAGCCAAAAACACCATTCATTACGTAGTTCTGACCGTTCTTCACACACTCAATCACACAAGTAGCAAGAATACCCTAAATTACGATGTTTGGGCCACTTGGGCGTGCCAAGAATCAAAGGACCAACTTCTTTCAACAAGCGCAGAACAGAGGCAAAACATGAAACGGGGAAGTCAAGAAAGAGGAGGGAGGTGGTGGACGGATGGGGAAAGAAGATGATATAAAGGATAAGTGTTTATTGCATAGCTGCGTACATGTTGTATGTAGGGGAGTATAGGTGTGTGTGAGAGAGTTGTGTGTGTGTGTGACAATGTTGTGCCTGTAACAATGCGTTGTGTGTTGAAGTTGTGTGGGCGCATGTGACAATGTTGCATGTGACAAACTTGTGAGTGTGAGCGTGTGAAAGTGTGTGTGTGTGTGAAACGTCTGAGTAGACGTAAAACTTCCTTTGAATGTATTGACCTTACATTTTCAATTTTCGAGGTTTCCATTCTACATGCAGGGGAACTGGGCACTCTGTGACTGACCCAGTTCAACGAAGCTAGTAGCTGCATTTTCGTCAAATCAGTTTTGCATTAGTGGCGACCGGCTAAGCCAAGAACCGGATTGTTGGAGAGATTTTTTCGACTACTCTGCGCGGTTTTCCACATTCTGTTTACTGGGATATTTCTTCAAGATTCTGGTCGTGACCTTTTATCGATGGTATTCTATTTTGGGGTCTATTTAATCTATTTGAAGCAGTTTCTGATCGTGACTTTGGATACCCGTCTAGGCATTGGAAAAAAGCAATTCCTTCATAATCGTTTACCGCATCGAGGAGATCTACTTTAGGTCCTTGGTTCTTGTTTAGCATGTTATGGGATTCTGTTCCCAACGGGTCACTACAATGATCCAGTTCTCTAGTGTGATTTCCATGGTGGCTCCGCATGGTGCCATGGAGCAAATGAGGCAACCCTGTTTAGGGTGAATGAGGACAGACAGGACGTTTGAATTCACAACTTTAGTAATTTGTTTATGTAATGTGCAACAGTTGGCCTTGCTGTTCTTCACCTTTTTGCGATGTCCCGCTGCCCCGGCCGTCCGTTTGCGAACCTTTGGAACATGCACCTCTGCTCAAGTGAAGCTGCGCTGAACTAATACGTTTTTTTGGCAGTGACAGAACGACAGCCCATGTTGGACTATTACATTTCAGGCTGAGGCTACATGCTTTCAGATGTGGACTTCTTTCTTTTTATGGTTTCTCGGTGAGGTCAAACATTTTGTGTACTTAATTCACTTGAACTTAAACAGCTGTTTACTGCCCATGTGGCTTGATCGACAACGGTCCCGTTTCAGGGAACAACGCACGAACTTTTAGGTTAGAACTGACTCAACCTGTGCAGCCTTCTCTCCGGACTTCTGGAACCATGCTACACTCACCAATCCCCAGGCTTTGCCCTGTACACCTTCATACATCGCCTCACATCAAGCACCACCTACCGGACCTATCCAATATGTACATCCTGGAGTATGTGCAGGCACTCCTCCAAGTTCCACCTCAACAGACACCAGCGACACCACCACCTACCCATCCGGCTCCACAACCGACACAACGCCCTTCACCGAAACCTACGGCAAGGAAAGCCGCTCCGGAAAAACCACCACCACTGCGTCGAGCACTAGTCCGAACGACCGCACCTGATTTTGAGAACCGCATCCAACGCCAAACTCCCGCATGGACCAGCTCGAGACCAGAACCCACGCCATTCTGGACATCACCACCAAGACACCACGACCACCCAAACCGCCAGTTCCACCTCCGCTACCCGCTCCACAGTCCACTCACCCACCTCCATCTGTCCCTGGCCACCCACGTTCTCAAGACCACACCGCCAACGGCTCCACCGACACGTCCTCACCGACGTCCTGCCCAGTCACTCACCACGACTATCCTTGCGATCCCGACCACGACATTCTCGCCGATGATCCAGAACCCGCTCCAGAACACCTTCGCATCGCCGACCTCGCCGACTTCCGACAACCTCTACCTCGACAACGCTCTACGCCTCACCATCCCAAAGACCGCTGCACTCCATCCCAACATCGTCGCCGACCCCGATCGTATCAAATGTGCCAGCGAGCTTCCGGCAGATTACACAGTCCCTAGCAAGGCCTCCATGACACATGCCGAAAAAACCGCAAGTACAAAGACTTTGTGGACGCAATGTTCTATCAACTCTCACTCCCATACACCACGTCCACCAAACAAACCATCTACATCAAGGCTGACCGCGAGATGGGTGACCAACATCGCAAAGTGTTACGCCAAAGCTGATCGTTTGGATGTGGAGTTGGCCAAAACGCACCCAAGGTTACTTCGTCGAGGCTTTGAACTTGTTGACCATCACAATCCCTACAGGCCTACCGGAAAAACCGGCCTTCCGCAACGACGATAGTGGAACATACGCTATCTATCACCGCACAGACTGGAGTGTGGTGACCAAAGTGTTGGTCGAAAATGTTATTAGACCCGCTGGATGGAGTCGCAACGACGAGAACGTCCCCAATCAGTATCCTTGCTTTGGATTCTTGGGATTCTCTACAGAAACCCCCAGTACCAAAGAATTGATTGACCGGGCAGTCAACAACTGCACTACTGGCCTTCCACCGGATCGGCAAGGGCCAGCTTCCTGCCGGCCTGATTGCCACCTGTCGCTCTCCGAAGATTACCAAGTTTATAGCAGGAGGCAATGATCAGCTGCAGAGGATTTGTCGCTTGGGAGGCATCGCAAAAGGAAAGGACGGTGCCACGGCCACGGCCACCACCTCCATCTGCGCCAATGTGGCTTTGTTGCTGGAACTCATCAAGTGGCTACCTCCATGATCACCTGTGCCGAGAAAACTCCGCAGAGCCGCTCCGATGATGGCCGCCGCAGACGACGCTGATCTTCTGGCAATATTGGTTTGAGGCAAACCCTCCTTCGCACCTGTTTTGGAGTAACACTGCTTCTCCCGCTTGGTGACGCTACCGCTTCGAGCATCTTCCGCTAAAACAATTTTTTGCTGATTTTCGTCGATGTCGCTATTTATGCAAGTCCGAGAACTGAAATGGCCTGGGGCCAAGCCAAGGACCTCTTTACCTCGTTTTACATCGTTTTATTACTTCGGTTTATTTTCTTTGCTAGTGCCTATTCTGGTCGCTGAACAATTTCTTGCTCCTGATTCGTGATGTGGCTGGGGCTAAGCCAAGTCCCCCTCCGCCGATACCGCGTTCTCGACATGCCGGCTCGTAGAGTGCGAACACGATTATTGCAACACTATTCCTCTCCATCAAGACGAAGTCAAGGAGAATGACCCACATCTTCGATGCCAACATTTCGCGGACCTATCCACCGTGCTATGACCGCCTCAAGACCAAAGTGGACTAACCCGTCGCTCTGGGCTCTGGACCACACCCCAACACCAGACTGGCTTCCAACCTTACAGCCATGGACCACAACAATCTATGCTCACCACGCAGTATTCCTTCCCACCTCAACCACCGCTACATCCTCCACCTCCACCTCCGAGCTGCCCATCGACGCCACATCGATTCTGCACTACCACACCGAAATCACCTTCAGGATTGACACCACCCCAGACAACCTCTCCTGTCAGCCGTGGATACACGATTCGGCCTTGTGAAATTCCACCGTTTGACGCATGGAGGGGTGCAATTTTTCATGTCTCATCTCCCCAGATGGTTCCGCACCCGCCCCTTTAGCGAGCCTACTTTTCGACCCTCCGGAACCACAAAACATTGGAAAAACATAGTGTTTTGCGACTTTTTTTACCTGTTCGCGCACCTGCATCTTCTTTTTTCTGACTCTTTCTCTTCTCTGATCTTCTTCCTTCTCACATTCTCTTCTCCGACTCTTCCCACCTCTGCTTTTCCATCTGTCCATATTGTCGGACGTTCGACTTCTAAACTTCCTTCGATCATTTGTGCCATCAGCAGCTCCTCCTCGTCATCGTCCTCATCATCATCATCATCATCATCATCATCATCATCATCATCACTATCACCATCGCCAGGACGAGCCCCAGCACCGTCATCACGATCACCATGAACACCATCAGTATCTCTGGTGGATGGATCCTGACAAAAACCAACCCCAAAAAACGATCTACATCCTTTCGATCACGGATTATCATAACTACATGCCTTTGTTCCCCTGCGCTTGCTCTCAAATTCTTATGCAGCGTTCTGCTTTTGCGTTTGCTCGTCGTATTCTTGGTATTGTCTTTGTTGTGTTTTTTTCCTTCTTGATATTTCTGTTCTTCTTATATCTTCTTAGCATTTTGATGCATTTTGTTTCGTTTTGTTCGTTTTTCCCTTACTGTTGTTCTTGTTTTTCTTCTTGCGTTTGCGGTCCGCGAATTTTGGGCAACGGAACTATGGAATGCACGGAATGCACAGGTCAGCAAAGTCACCGACTGGTTGGGTTCCTCAGACCCGAAATTCAACGAGACCAGTTGACTCCGAAGGACTCTGAGGGGACACAATGGGGGGTTTGCGGAAAAATGGCACAAAGATGCGCAACCATTGCAACTATGACACCGATTCACATCAGAAAAGAAGTGGGTTTCAATCTCATAAGGGGGTCAGCGCCAGATTTCCGTCTGGTTTGAAAATTTGCAACGCAAATTTGATGCACAACTGTGTGTTGTGGATGAGATTTCGATCCCATGGGCCCATGGGATTGTTCGGCGGTTTTGTAGCGACACGTAAACCTCGGAATGGGGTGTGTCATTGGCCACTAGCAGTCAGCAACACCGTGAAATCATTTATAGAATTTTGCACCTTCTGAAAGCTTGAAAGCCAGGAATGTTTTTTTTCCAGTCACAAAAAAAACAGATGATAACAGATGTAAAAAAGATGCGACGCAGAAGAAATTGCAGAGAGATGTCAGACCAATGTTTCAGGTTTCGGATTTCTCGGATTTCCAAATTAAAAGGTACGTGGGACAAACCCAGAAGGTTCAGCAGTGGAACTGAGTGAAGTGGGAGACTTTCTGGGTTTGAGTTTTGCTCTTGGATCATTCAGCTGCAGTGCCGTTCCAAGTTGTTCCAAGTTGTTCCAAGTTGTTCCATATGTATTAGTTGTATTCTATAAATTTTAATTTGTTTTCTATCTATTTCTATTGTGTTCACTCTAGAGATTTGAAGATTTAAGATACAAAAGATTTGAAGATTTTCAAGGTGACACGGTGACACCTCGCGACTCGCGCTGTTCATACGGATGGCGATGTCCGAAGTCGATCCGAGAGATCCGAGAGATCCGAGAGATCCGAGGTCCAGTGGCCCTGAAGCGTTGATCAAACAGAGCCTCTTGGCACGGCGCCCGAGGAACCTCATGGAACCGAAGTCGCACGCGACGCAGTCTTCAACAGTCTTCAACAGTCTTCAACTTCAGTGACCAGAAGCCGAGAGCGAGAGCGAGGTAGCCAGGTAGTCTTTATTCTAACTTATTCTAACTTCAGTTTTTTTTCGAAGGAAAAACTGTGTTTCGTTTAAGGAATATAGCAAATATCCATTCCTTTCAAGGAATGATCATGTTCTTTTTAAGGAATTCTGCATATGTTTGCATAGTTTCTTTCCCGACATGAAATCGTCCGAAAAGAGCCGCACTCGAATTCACTAGAAAGAATCATGTGTTTGTCTGAAAACATTGAACGAAGACAGCATTTCAAAGGCAAACACTGTTCAAAGAAACCACACAGAAGCACATGTAAAAGGGACAGGCACAGGGTTCTGTTTGAGTGAAACTGGCAGCCTCGTTTGCAGGAATACTGCGCTTCTTAAACAAACACTGCAACTTGTGGATGAATGTTGCCTCTTGCTTCTGGAAAGATTGTTGTCTTTTCGCACGGATCTACGTGGGACAGAATTTAAACCTGTTTCAATGACGACCCATTTTTAGAAGAGAGGGGCTTGTTGCCAGCGCTGGAAAGTAGGCTTTCATCATGTTCTCGTATCCTTTGGGAAATTGTCATAATCAAATATGATGTTTAAAAGGAGGAGGCCTGACCCAGAGAACACATATTCAGCTGCAAAATGCACTCCTCTAGAACAATGGTAGTCACTAGGTTCAAAATGTGGCAAAATCCAAGAAGAAATTCCACCTTAGAAGAGAAAACAGGATGTATCTCCACTTTGAAGCATTAAGTACAACAAAATATGTATGTGACATAAAATGCAAAATTATAGTGGATAAATTCAGGTCATGTACTTATCATAAACTATCGTTATCCTTCTTTTTGTGTGGCACGCATCATGAAAATTGGAAATATGTTGTTTTGAAACCTGGGGGATACACTACTGTAATGTTTCCATACGATTGTGGTACAATGCCACATTCTTTTGAAAGAAATGAGTCATCTTTGAAAACACAACCTTAATTCATCTACAAGGCCTATTTTACTTTGAAAAGTAAGGAAGTTCCCTGGTGTTTTCAAACAGGTGGTGGATATGTTCAATAGATTGGCTACCCTTGATGCAGTGCCACCAATAAAACAAAAATCCACCACACAACCTGATGTAACATCTTGTTTGCAACCAGGTGGTATCACACTAATGCCCTGCCATGGTGCAGGCTGTCACGATTAAGAACATATTCTAATTGATTGTAGAAGAACATGTCGTTTATTAGTTTGAGTTGCACAACACAACAATTGTCCAAAAAGGAATATATGACCTATCCCATCTATTACGTCTTGCACCTGTGCTACATTTCCAGCAAGTAATGCTCTGGAGAGATGATAAAGAAGAACATTTTACTTAGGTTTAATCTATATAGATTGATCTGGATTAATCCTAGAGATCAAACAACACCAAAAAGCAAAACAAAAAAATGTTTTCCAGACTAGTCTGAACATGGCTCGATCCAAGTAGTTCCCAAAACATTTTATTTTGCGTTTTTTGGTCAACGGCGCTGTGACAACGCAAACCTCCTTATAGGTTTGTTGACAGCGCGAAACAACCACTTTATCCCAAATAAACAATAAATATATACAAACAATTGGTGGTTTCAGCGCTGGCAACAAGACTTTCTGTTGTAGAAACACGTATTTCGTTGTCTGCAGGAACACTGCAAACCTCGAAAGGACCGATTCATTGTTCAAAAGGTGTTTTCCCGAATGCGTAGCGAAGGGTTCTTGCTTTTTTGCTAAGGAGTCTTGTGTGGAGTGTGGAGAGTAAAGTGTAGAGTGAGGAGTGTCGAGTGGAGAGTGTAGCGTGTAGAGTGCGAAGTGTAGAGTGTGGAGTGGAGAGTGCGGAGAGTGCGGAGAGTGCGGAGAGTGCGCAGAGTGCGGAGGGTGCGGAGAGTGCGGAGAGTGCGCAGAGTGCACAAGTTGCGGAGAGTGCGGAGAGTCCGGAGAGTGTGGGGAGTGTGGGGAGTGTGGGGAGTGTGGGGAGTGTGGGGAGTGTGAAGTGTAGAGCGTGGAGTGTGGAGTGGAGAGTGTAGAGTCTAGAGTGTGGAGCGTGGAGCATGGAGTGTAGAGTGTGAAGGGTAGAGTGTGGAATGTGAAGTCGGGAGGGAATAGAATGACATGTAGAGTGTGTGACATTGTTTGTCCAGATTTTTGCATTCTTTTCACGAAAGGTAGCACCAAGCTACCTGAGTTCTTTGCTTGCTGTGCAAGCTAGTTATGTATCTGTCTGGGTCACTGGCACCGTGTGTGATTCGCAGCGTTTATGTATTTACTTTAGTCCTGGGTTGAAAAGTAGTGCGTGTACTTATGTTTTTTCCGCGCAACATCCGAGCTATACGGTGCCTGCTTTGTTTACGCGCTCTGTCTCTTGACATTTGTTGGCAATATAAAACAAACATCCGGCGGGCGCACTTCAAATAGCATAGCATCAAAGCATCAAATGAGTGTGCACGCGCAATGGGATATTATTAGCCCCACCCCACCCCACCCTACCCCATCTCTAACATACCAGCAAGCACTTGTTCAAGTGCAAACGGAATTGTGTAAGTGAAAGGGCTTCAAGCAATGTCACATCACAAAATGGTGGCAATGCAAGTGAACTTCGTCAATCAAGCTAGCATCAAGAGACTGTGCAAGGGCCAAGGAACTTGAAGTAACATAGCATGAAGTAAATCTGCAAGTGCAAGTGACACTTTTTTAGGACAGTAAAAAACTCGGTAGGACATTTGTTGGAATTTCAGTTTTGTTATGATTTGAAAGGTTTGGGCTCTGGAGCCAGGAGATAGTTGGAGAACACATTTCAATAAGTATCCTGAAATATCATTTTTGGTATATAAAAAAGGGCTCCACAGGACACTTGCTGGAAGTTCATTGTTGAAGAGTCTTGGAATGATAACCCAGTGGAAAATGGTCAAAACCCATAAAAACTTATATAACAGCTTTAAACAAAAACATTGTTTTTTGCTACTTTTCCCTCCAAAACATCAAAAAAACTAGGGAAACATATGTTTTTTTCAATAGAAACTTCCTCAAGGTTCCAAGACGTCAGTCAAAACCTTCAAACACCAAGGTGCTTTTGAGATTTTGGGATGAAAAACGTCCAAAACTTAGGTATTTTCCAATGTTTTAGCCAAGAACGAAAGAAAGTTCGAAAACCTTGAAAAGCCATTGGTTTTTGCTACTTTTCCATCCAAAACATCAAAAAACCTAGGGAAACATATGTTTTTTCACTGGAAGCTTCCTCAAGGTTCCAATTTGGAGACTTTCATTCAAAAACCTTAACATTAAACACCTGTCCTTAAGATTTTTGGAGTGCCAAACAAGTGCCAAACAAGTGCCAAAAACCCAAAGATGGTCAGGTTTTCGGAGAGTTTTCGGAGACCGATCCACATCTAGGAATTGCGGACCGCTTCGTTGGGCGGCCAAAGTTGGAAACTCGTATTTTGTATATTTTGTATATATATTACTTATTAAACAAGAACAAAAATTGACCAAGTTGAACACCCCTTGTCTTTTTTTTTTTTAATTGTTTAACTTATTTCCTGGGGTTTTTTTGACCTTTTGACCAAGGCGATTCAACGTAATTCAACACTTTCCAAGGTTGGAAACCTGACAGCTGCTGTGGAGCTTTGCTTCAAGAGCGGGAAGATGGCAGAGGTTTGCAATGGTTCCCATTGGATGGTGTGGTTGAGACATGTTGAGACTTGCTGTACCTGCAGATATCTTTAAAAATTACCTGCAGATAACACAGATAACCTTGCATGCAAATTAGTGACGTAAGTGTGACATACAAAAGCTCTCAGATGCGTATTGAACTACAATTGATTACATTCGCAGCTCGCTCTTTCAATAACATTTTCTAGAAAAGAAATACTTTACTCAAAGTCTGTTTTTCGACGCTCGAATTTGCTAAACCTTCGGTTTTGTAGTGCTTTGCTAAACACTTTGGTGATAGGCGCTGCTGTTGGCCTCGGGCGGTGGCACCACGCTGTGGACACGCGCACGCGACGAATACCTGCGGCTCCAGGTGTGCACTGTGCACACCGTGTGGCGAACGTTGCGAACATCCGACATTTTCATGATAATGACATGCTGTGAAGTCGTGTATGATGATATCATGATTAGTCAACATTCGCAAAATGTGTCAGGTCCTTGATATTTCCGCATCGAATCAGGTTTCAATCAGGTTTCTTTAATGCTTTTGCTTGATGCGCTTGATGCGGCCATATTTTTGTCAGGGGGACTCTTTCCTCACAACTGTGGGCAACATCATGACCAACGATTTCAGCAAGCTGGTAAAGAACTGAGAAAAACTGATTTCAGATGAGCTGGAGAATTGGAGGTCTAAAGGGGCGGCTTCCGAAAGTCGATGTTTTTTAAGTGGCGTAAGAAATCCCTAAGGAATTCGATAGGAATTGATAGGAATTGCGTTTCATGTCGCTTCTTTGATCTTTGCGTTTTATCATGTTTTATCATTATAAATTGATGATATAAAATTGCTATAAACATTGTAAGCATGGCTATAAACAATTATAATTATAAACATTATATTTTTACATTATATAAACATATCAAACATATCGCAGATTTTGGAGACTTTTGGCATCGGCAGATTTCTGCAGTTCGGTGTTTCGGTGTTTCGGTGTTGGGTTTCTGATTTGATTTTGAGGTCGCCAACAGCAACTTGGCGCATTGGATGGAGACCTTGGCCATCGTTGCGACCTACTCCAACCGAGAGTACCAAGCCCCTCGGCGGCGCAGTGAGCTGAATAAGTTGCGTTAGTACTGTGTTATTGTATGTTATTGTGTTAGTATATGTGTACAATATACGTACAATATGCTTCCTTGTGCCGTGTGCGTCGAAATGAGACGAAAGTCGTGCGAAGGAGGAAGCGTTTGTGAACAGTTTTTGTAAACTGTTTGTGTACATGTTGAGCTGGGCATGTTGTCTCATGTTTGTCTCATTTTTGCATCATTTTGTCACGCGTTGCATGTTTTTTTGCAGTCTTGCTATGTTTTCCCAATTAGAGAGTCTGCAAGTAGCTGCAAGGTTTTTAGAGACCTTTGATGCCAGCAAATGAGCAGAAAAAATGAGCAGAAATGAGCTTGCTGTGTTTTGCCCTGTGAACACGTGCAGGTGTCGTGGTGTAGGTCTGAGTGTAGGTCTGAGTGTCGATTGGGTCTCGGTTTGTCTCGGTTTGTTCTCCCCGATCTCCACGAGAGTGTCTAAGTGTACTAAGTGTACAACTTACACATCTTACACATCTTTCTTCAAGGCTATTTCTCAGTATTTTCAGTATTGAACAGAAATAATGAGATATTTCATTAAAACAGAAGTGAAGATTAGTGAAGATTAGTGAAGAATAGTGAAGATTTGAATATGTCTGAAGATCTCTTGACAGATGTATCTTGACAGATGTCTTTAGAAAGAGTGTAGAAGTCTCTGGAAAGTGTCTAAAGACATGAACATTTCAAGAAGACAAGAAGATTTCAAGTCTGTACTACCATCTACTACCTAAATACAACCACAACTACTATTATTACTATCAACAGTATTACTACTGTGCAACTACTATAACTACTGTTTTGTCTCGTTGCACCTGCGATTTCCGTCAGCTCCGTTGGTCCTTCGCGTCGTTGCATCGTTGGTGGTTGCGTCGGTTGGTCTCTGCGGTGCCCGGAGACGCCCGAGGTGTCTCTGAGGGGACGGCAAAGGAAAGAAACAAAAAAAAACAACAAATGAAATTAAACAATTAAACAAATATATATATATATATTATTTTTTTGGTTTTTATCGTTTTGTATTTTTAATTTTTTAACAAAAAATGTAGGAATTTCTGCAGATTCTGCAGATTCAAAGGCGCTGTGTGAACAGCTGGCGGAGCGCTTGGAGAAGGAGAAGTTCGACATCCGCTCCGCCGTGGCCCGACAGCCCAGACAGCCCAGACAGCCTGCGCTTGAGCGTACCGTGGAGCCCAGCGCAGTGCACGCAGTGCACGCAGTGCAGAAAAAACAAATCCCAAAGGTAACTGACTTATCATTCTTTATCAGATAGCTTATAGGTATTCATAGGTATTCATAGGTATTCATGGATATTCATAGATATTCATAATGACTCATGGATGTTCATAACAATGTTCAGAACAACGTTCATGACGTGTCATGAATGCAGACATCGAGAGACACGACCGCATACAAACTTCAACATGCGCAATTGTCAAAGCACGATGAAACACGATGTGGGGGTTCAAGATGATTTCCGTGAACAGCTGTGAAGTTTACACATACTGATCTTCACAGAAGATAATAATGACCAGTTCATAAACCGACCGTCGCTACAGCAAATGATTCCGATCTACTGTGATGTTGGCATATGTTGACATGTGTGGACAATTGCTGTCAAGTTCACATAGTTCTTCTTCCCATTGGCCACTCACAACATGTTGTCGCTTTTCTCAGACTGCTTGGGTTGTTGAGAACATCATTTTTAGTCCATCTTTCAATCTTTCGCCCATCTTCTATGTTCATCATTGTTCATCATTGTTCATCATTTGTGTGGCCACCAGTTTCGCACGGTCACGCCAGATCTGCTACATTTGCGCGAAGAACTTCCCAAAAACGGTGAGTATCTGGGCCAACACCCATGTGGCTTCACAGGCCGATCTTGAGATTCAGTTGGGAACTTGAACTTGTTCATCCATGAAATTCCGCAACAATTTGGAGATTTTTCAAGATTGGAAACAGGAAACCGCAGGAAACCATCTCGGAATGCAAAGGTGGAAGGATCACGAAAGGCAACGAAAGGCAACGCCGAGTCGGCACAAAGCCACCTGCGGTGCAGTGCACCGCCTGCACCGCCTGCACCGTGCCAGGGATCTCAGAAGTTGGCTTTGCAGGATTTGGTCAAACACTCAGAGTGACGAGTGACGAGTGACGAGTGACGACATCTCAAACCACACTTTGCACAGCACAGAAATATGTTGAAATACAGAATTCAAGCGCGTGGATGATAACAGTGAGGAATTCTATGCATGACACTACTCATTCTACAGAAATTCTGAAAATTTAACTGAAATTCTATTCATTTTTACTTCTCTTTGAAAGGTGGAGAAGATGGCCGTCCTACAAGACGCTACCAAGTTCAATCAGGCTTGGAGATGACAGATGAAAACAGATGAAAACAGATGAAAACAGATGAAAACAGATGAAAACAGATGAAAACAGATGAAAACAGATGAAAACAGATGAAAACAGATGAAAACAGATGAAAACAGATGAAAACAGATGAAAACAGATGAAAACAGATGAAAACGACAAAATCCCTTCCTCCTAATACTAAACGCCTCCCCCCATTACTAAACACGGCAGGTAGTTTTTAGTATTAGGGAAGTATTTATTATTAGGGAACCCTATTAATAAAATTTAACCCTTAATAAAAAAAGCTATTTTTTCCGATCTCAAAATCAATTAAATTTCTTTATATAACGCAATTAAAATATTGCCAAAATTTGGGTTTCGAAGCTTCCCCCTAATATTAAACCCTTAATAATAACTAGACGACGGTTGGCCCGAGAGCGAAAAAGACGTTTTTCAAGCAGCTCTGAGTATGGTAGTCGTAAAAGATAGTCGGTGAATGGTTGGTGAATTTTATATGAGCTATGGAGGGATAAGTTGTGAAAAGTAAGATTGATTAAGAAGAGGATACATGTGACAACCCATGCATATGCACTGTGCTGCTTGGTAAAGGGCATCATATGACACGTGTCTTGCAACCACAGAGAGACATAGATAGAGAGAAAGGGAGAGAGAGAGGGAGAGAGAGAAAGAGGGAGAGAGAGAGAGAGAGAGAGGGAGAAATAAAGGGAGATAGAAAGAAAACATGAAAAATATAATGTGAGCAACAAAAGTGCACAGGAGGCTCGGCACCATGATGCTGCGAATGACATGTGTTATCTCATTTTACTATGGCCGGCGCATACCCAACAGAGCGCATTAGCCCATCACCTCTGTTGTCATATTCTGATGATAGCCCGAGCTATCGCCAGAACGTTGGCCTCAAGTTATGCGTATCTGTGTCCCCCACCACCGGCCAACGTGGTGCCAGCCGCGTTGGAGCAAGCTGCTTGGTAAGGACAAGCAGAAAGAGACAGCATGAAAAATGCAACGCGAGAACATGCCGATGGCAAGTAAAGGATGTATATGGCACATTCTTCCCAATGAAACTTACTTGCGCAGATGCCATCAAGCCGAAACAAACTTATGTTTCAGCAGGAATGTTGCGAATGACGTTGTAAAGTGAGCTGATGATGTGAATGGCACTTTATTATAGAAATGTTCACAAAGGTATACGAAAAAAGCTCGGCACCACTCGATGTTATGTGACTTTGTTATGGACATTTCCACGAAAGTACACAGAAAAGCTCGGTACCATGATGCTTTGAAATCGCAGTGAAACGTTGTGGCTCAGAAGTGCTAACCTTAGTGCATAGCACAGCGCTTGACACATTCCAGTAATTTGATTTACTTCACGACCAAAAACACCCATCAAAAACCCAGGCCGGTACCAAACTGGCGCAAGAGTCGCCTCAGAAATTTCAGATTGCACGATCATGCACAGTTGTCAGTTCACTCGTACCAAGATGAGATCGTCTGTCATCGAGCTGGATCACACACACTCGCTCAGAAACATATCGAATTCCTGATGTGGAATGCATCGTACGTGCAAAAAACACCTCCGTTACACTTGACAGGAAATGGTGGATGACTAGGCGCGAGAAACAGTGTAAAGGAATTCTTTCTACGTCCTTGCTAGATGCAATTGTTCCATCTGAACCAAATCGTGATCTTCCTAACGGCAAGGTGGTTTTTGGGTTGGCCACTTCCCATTATGGAAAATTGACATGAAAATTGAGATTTGAAGCAGCTACGTCAAAGGGACGTCTCCCTTTGATATCACTGTGACTTCTGGCCGTCTTCGTTGGCACAGGAACCAGAGTCACACCTGTGCCCCCTGCTTTTAAATAAATAAATGTAACGACGGCAAATACAAATAAAAAGAAGCCAAACATGACAATCAATGCATGAGTTAGAAGTTTTACATCTTTTCAGATGTTCCACACACACAGACAACACTTTTCAACTTTTGAGCTGCTGGTCGCACTAATGAGTTCACATGTTCGTCACGAACAGTTTCTCCAGACGAGCAGTGGTGCAAATTGGTTTTTGTCCGCCGCACTGAGTTCCATGTGCCACTCGGTACGCAGACCTTCAAGTTTCCACAAAGCCTCCAAGACATAGGGGTGATTGTGCCATGGGCGCAAGGAAGGTCTTTACTCAAGCAGCAACTGGACGGCATCCTCTGCAGAGTAGCTGTAACCCACGACGAGCCAACGATTCGCTCCAACGTCCAGTTGAATGCCGCTCGCACAGAGAACGCGGTTGCAAAAACTCCATGCTTGAATCCCACGGGACTCTTTGATCCAACTAAACACAAATCAATCCTCGCAGTCACATACCACCTCAACAGAAACCAGAACTCAATTTTCAATGCAACCGTTCCATGTCCACGGACAGTCACTACAGAACATGGAACATTCACAAAACGCAATCTCCAAAGAATGAACGCAAGACCATATCCACAGAAGAAAGATGTCGACAATATTGTTTTGAATGCATCTCTGCATGCACTCCAAAATCGCAATTTTACATCAGTTTTTGACGTCCAACGTCCATTTCGCGCGAAAGGGTTGCAGGGGGCACCTCCAAATCGCAATTTTAATTCAGTTTTTGACGTCCAACGTCCATTTCGCGCGAAAGGGTTGCAGGGGGGACCTCAAAATTGCAATTTTACATCAGTTTTTGACGTTCAACATCCATTTCGTGCGCAAGGGTTGCGGCGGATACTTCAAAATCGCAATTTTACATCAGTATTTGACGTTCAACGTCTATTTCATGCGAAAGGGTTGCGGCGGACACCTCAAAATCGCAATTTTACCTAGGTTTTGGACGTCCGATGTGCACTCAATGCTGCGCCTGTCACGTTTCGTGGCACTCCGGCGGCACCGCACCCGCCTTAAGAGAGAGATAGAAAGAAGAGCGAGAGAAAGAAAGGAGGAGAGAGAGAGAGAGAAGATCTGCAGATTTGAAGGTGCGAGGAAGTAGATCTGCAGATGTGAAGGTGTGAAGATGTAGATCTGCAGATGTGAAGGTGTGAAGATGTAGATCAGCAGATGTGAAGGTGTGAAGATGTAGATCTGCAGATGTGAAGGTGTGAAGATGTAGATCTGCAGATGTGAAGGTGTGAAGATGTAGATCAGCAGATGTGAGAGTGTGTAGATGTAGATCTGCAGATGTGAAGGTGTGAAGATGTAGATCTGCAGATGTGAGGGGGTGAAGATGTAGATCTGCAGATGTGAAGGTGTGACGATGTAGATCTGCAGATGTGAAAGTGTGAAGATGTAGATCTGCAGATGTGAAGGTGTGAAGATGTAGATCTGCAGATGTGAAAGTGTGAAGACGTAGATCTGCAGATGTATTACAACGGCTGCTTTTTTTTTACGAAGAACCCTTCGCAGGCGCTCTCGGGAAAGAAAAATAAAACAATTCTTTTAAACATCTCATATGCGCCACCAACCCAAAATTCAACTTTCGTTTCAACCCAACATACAAGGACCTTTCACACCATTTAACGACTCAATGGCCTGCAACTGTTGAAGCTGCTCCATTCTCACAGACAGTCCCTTCAGAAAATGAAACAGTAACCACAATGCTTTCAAAAGTGTCACGGGTGCGCAACTTGAACCAAACATTTGCATGCAGATAATGCTCACTAGCAAGCATGTTCACCGACAACCCTTGTCATGTCCATGTTGTCCACCAAAACAAAAGCCGCAACATTGTACACAGCTACTAGCAACTCCACTGCAATCCCGTTTCACCCCATGCAATACAAACAAAGTTTCACCAATGGACATCCTGAATGCCATCATCACCCTCACTTCAACTAAAGCAACCGAGCTCCATACATTCCTAGCGCGGGTGCTATCAATCATCCATCCTCAGCCGATGTCCAACTGGGTACCATTATACTGTGAATAATTCCATAAAACTTTACGAAAGTTCGGTATTATCATGCTAAACACAAATCAGCCCTTGCAGTCACATGCCACCTCAACAGAGACCAGAACTCAATTTTCAATGCAACCGTTCCATGTCCACGGACAGCCCCTACAGAACATGGAACAATCACCAAACACAATCTCCAAAGAATGAATGCAAGACCATATCCACAGAAGAAAGATGTCGACAGTATTGCTTTAAATGCATCTCTGCATCCACTTGAGGCTCCCACCAAAAGATCGGCAACAAAAACCAGTTGAATGACTTTTGCAATGATAATGCGGTTGCAAAAACTCCATGCTCGAATCCCACAGGACTCCATGATTCAACTAAACACAAATCGATCCTTGCAGTCACATGTCACCTCAACAGGAAACAGATATCAACTTTCAATGCAGCCGTTCCAAATCACAAAACACAATCTCCAAAGAATGAATGCAAGACCATATCCACAGAAGAAAGATGTCGACAGTATTGCTTTAAATGCATCTCTGCATCCACTTGAGGCTCCCACCAAAAGATCGGCAACAAAAACCAGTTGAATGACTTTTGCAATGATAATGCGGTTGCAAAAACTCCATGCTCGAATCCCACAGGACTCCATGATTCAACTAAACACAAATCGATCCTTGCAGTCACATGTCACCTCAACAGGAAACAGATATCAACTTTCAATGCAGCCGTTCCAAATCACAAAACACAATCTCCAAAGAATGAATGCAAGACCATATCCACAGAAGAAAGATGTCGACAGTATTGCTTTAAATGCATCTCTGCATCCACTTGAGGCTCCCACCAAAAGATCGGCAACAAAAACCAGTTGAACGACTCCTGCAATGATAATGCGGTTGCAAAAACTTCTGTGTGTAAAAGCTTCTGTGTGTAAAAGCTTCTGTGTGTAAAAGCGTCTGTGTGTAAAAGCGTCTGTGTGTAAAAGTCTCTGTGTGTAAAAGCTCCTGTGTGTACCAGCTTCTGTGCAAAAGCGTCTGTGTGTAAAAGGTTCTGTGTGTGAAAAGCAATACGAAGGATACGATGCAAACTAGTGTCTTGTACTTGTGATATATTGTCTTGATACTACTCTTCTCGTCTGCTTATAATACATCTTTAATATATTGTCTTGCAATATAGTATAGTGTCCCAATACTAACAACAGAAGACCCTGCTCCTCTACGCTCTCGGGCCCTACAGAACATGGAACAATCACAAAACACAATGTCCAAAGAATGAACGCAAGACCATATCCACAGAAGAAAGATGTCGACAATATTGTTTTGAATGCATCTCTGCATCCACTCCAGAATCGCAATTTTACATCAGTTTTTGACGTCCAACGTCCATTTCGCGCGAAAGGGTTGCAGGGGGCACCTCAAAATCGCAATTTTAATTCAGTTTTTGACGTTCAACATCCATTTTGCGCGAAAGGGTTGCAGGGGGCACCTCAAAATCGCAATTTTACATCAGTTTTTGACGTTCAACATCCATTTCGCGTGAAAGGGTTGCAGGGGGCACTTCAAAATCGCAATTTTACATCAGTTTTTGACGTGCAACGTCCATTTCGCGCGAAAGGGTTGCGGCGGACACCTCGAAATCGCAAGTTTGCATCATTTTTTGACGTCCAAGGCCCATTTCGCGTGAAAGGTTTGCGGCGGATACCTCAAAATTGCAATATTATCTCGACGTTCAACGTCCATTTCGCGCGAAATGGTTGCGGCGGATACCTCAACATCGCAATTTCACATCAGTTTTTGACGTTCAACGTCCATTTCATGCGAAATGGTTGCCGCGGACACCTCAAAATCGCAATTTTACCTAGGTTTTGGACGTCCGATGTGCACGAAATGCTGCGCCTGTCACGTTTCGTGGCGCTCCCGCGGCACCGCCCCCGCCTTAAGAGAGAGATAGAAAGAAGAGCGAGAGAAAGAAAGGAGGAGAGAGAGAGAGAGAGAAGATCTGCAGATTTGAAGGTGCGAGGAAGTAGATCTGCAGATGTGAAGGTGTGAAGATGTAGATCTGCAGATGTGAAGGTGTGAAGATGTAGATCAGCAGGTGTGAGGGTGTGAAGATGTAGATCTGCAGATGTGAAGGTGAGAAGTTGTAGATCTGCAGATGTGAAGGTGAGAAGTTGTAGATCTGCAGATGTGAGGGGGTGAAGATGTAGATCTGCAGATGTGAAGGTGTGACGATGTAGATCTGCAGATGTGAAAGTGTGAAGATGTAGATCTGCAGATGTGAAGGTGTGAAGATGTAGATGTATTACAACGGCTGCTTTTTTACGAAGAACCCTTCGCAGGCGCTCTCGGGAAAAACTAATTTTTCCGATTTCAAAATCAATTAAATTTCTTTATATAACGCAATTAAAATATTGCCAAAAATTGGATTTCAAAGCTTCCCCCTAATACTAGCTAAATTAAAAGCCCTTATATAAAAAACAAAAAATCGGACGGATCCTAATAATAAACACCCCGGGGTTGACTAGTTTTTAGTATTAGGGGGACCCACAAATGGTAGGTTGATTTTTAAATTGTTTTCTAAAGCGGATCAATTCAAAATCAAATTGGCCAATCTGAAATTTTCTGAAATTGGAGATGGACGCCTGTTTTTAGTATTTGGGGGACGTTTAGTATTAGGAGGAAGGGATTAGGAGAGACATCGGAGAGACATCGGAGAGGCATCACGTGATTGACGACGTGATTCATTGGGGTTGGGGTTCAAGTTTTGTCTTGTCGAGGCAGATCCACTTTTTTCGCAAAAGTTGACCAAGTGCGCCGGTTATGGCCCGTGCTGTACAAGTAGTTGTTGAGAAAGAGATGCAGCACACCTGTCACATATTTTGCATTTGCGTCTCGATCGTGGCAAAATCAAATGTTACTGTCCAGTATTGTAGTAAGAAACTCTTTTTGCAAATGCGCAAAGGTAGAATGAGAGTCTCTTCCGGAAAGACAAGAGCCAGAGACGAAAATCATATCAGAAACGAATATGTTTTTTGGCAAGGTGCTTCAATAAATCTTCAATATGTGTAGCATACCGTCTCAAACCTGCCTCTGTGGATGGTCAAAGCAAGAATGAGCAGAAGCAGCGCGCCACGGTGCGCCACGGTGCCACCAGAAGCGCATGTGAAGCGCATGTCCCTCTTCACATCTCTTCGCATCTCTTCGCATCTCTTCGCATCTCTTCGCATCTCGCTTCGAGGTACGCAGAGATCTTGGCCAATTCTGGCCGCCTCACTGCTGCAATGCGATACCTGTGCTTGCTCGCAGGCGACCAGACCTCGACGGTGTCGAACTATGTCCGATTCAGTCGATTCATTTTTCTAAATCTCCTTTGAATCTTTTCATCACTTCACTCATACTTTTCCTGGCCACAACCTGCAATGTTCACGATCTTTAAGAGAACGCTCTTCAGAGTGCCTCCAATATCTTTAACCAGTGTTCAGCATGTCTTCAGCATCTCTTCAGCATCCCTTCAGCATCTCTTCAGCATCTTTCAATTTTTGGCAATTTCTTGTCAATTTTTGGTGCCACCAGAAGTTGGATCGCGTTCAGATGACAACTCCTCGGCCATTCTGCGGGACCGAATCTTCAATTCTGCACCTAGCCAGATGGGCCAAATGTTGGAAGCTCAAAATGCTTAAACTGTTACACAAAAACTTGTTTCTACACAAACCTTGTTTACTTCCTGACATGGTGTAGATGAGATAGAACTTTGATGAAGGTCACTTGACGGTCACTTTACAATTGCTATGAACTGTGCTTATCTATGCTTGGGTAGATGAGGCTGAGATCTGCCCCTCGATTTCCATTCCAGGCGCGAATTTCCACTTTCAAATTTTCCAGTTTGAAATTTCCACTTTCAATCGCTTAATTCAATTTAATCCTTTGACATATCTTTGATTTAATGACACGGAATGATCTGAAGCCGTTCGCCCAGACCACAGAAGTGCGAGTGGTTCAAAGCCAGACACCTGGCAGACGGTGAGGATGGTGATTTTGATGGCACGATTTGCCAGGTAACTCTTGCTTGAAGTTAAGTCATGTTAAGTCTGTTGTGTTTTCATTTTTTTGAATGTGTTAGGCTGCCTAGGCCGAGGCCGGCTAGGCTGCACACTGCATCAAACTGCTGCATTTTTCTCTTTCGCTTTAAAATGAAGGTGTTTAGGAAGTTTAGGAAGTTTAGGAAGTTTAGGAAGTTTAGTTCTCAATATTCAAGTTCTCAGATTGCCAAAGGCCTGGTTACACAGAATGATACAAGGAAACTGCAAAGGTTCCGCAAAGCATTCCCAGAGACACAGTCTCCAAAGGTACCGAAGACTGACCAAGTCCCAAACCATGGTGAAATGCGTAAAACGCAAAGGGGTTCCAACGACAAGGTGTGCAAGAGCATGTTTTTTCCAACAAAAAATCAAGGTACAACAACTACAACGATAAATGACAAGCATAATCCTCTGTTGGGATATTCTTTAAGAGTCTTTGGTTTTGCTGAGTTCATTGTAACTTATATAAAATATGACTTATACCACCTGACACGGCCAGTGGCCGCAGTGACCGCAGTGGCCTTGGTACTTGTTCAGTTTGTTCGGTTTGTTCGGTTTGTTCAGTTTGTTCAGTTTGTTCAGTTTGTGGTGAGGTGCACCATCAGCCCGGAGTAGTGCCTTGGAGCAATCTGTTGAATCAGTCGAATCGGATCGACGGATCGTTTGATCGTTGCAGTCGTGAAGGGAGACACTTGAGCCGCTGGAAGCACACAGGAAACGTTACAATTTGAAACTGTGTGTGCTGAGGCATGGGCTACCCTGGACAAAGTGCCGGAGGTGTGGGTGTGAACCCTGGTGCTGGAATGGGTATGGGCACAAATTCCATGATGAGTGGTGGAATGGGTGGAGGAATGGGTGGCAACATGGGTGGCAACATGGGTGGCAACATGGGTGGCAACATGGGTGGCAACATGGGCGGCAACATGGGCGGCAACATGGGTGGCAACATGGGTGGCAACATGGGTGGCAACATGGGCATGGTTGGAGGAGGCGGAATGCCCAACATGGGTGCTGGGATGGGTGCTGGCATGGGTGGAATGGGTGGCATGCCGGGAAGCATGCCTGGCAGCACACCCGGGATGGGAATGGGTATGGGCATGGGTGACGTCGGTGGCGTTGGTGGTGTGGGTGGGATGCCTAACATGGGCGGGAACATCGGCGGCAACATGGGCAGCATGGGCAACATGGCCATGGGCGGTATGGGGATGGGCGGGGGTATGGCCGGGGGTATGGGGGGTATGGGAGGAGGCATGGCGAATTCCGGCAATCCTGCGCCCGTCAAGTCCTCAGAAAAGATGCCCCGGCAATCGCGGACATGTCGGAAAGTTTCTTTCATCACGTCACTTGGTAAACACGTCCGAGGCTGCTGTAGGAAAGATGGTCTGACAGGTGCACAATGCTGAAGAATCAGGTCATTTCGCTTCACTGATTCCATACTGATTCCATAATTTCGTAGAAAAGCAGAGAATTCGGATCAGAATTTGCGACGCAAATCTACAAACCGACGTTGAAATCTGGCTCTTTTCCCAACACCCGTTGCAAGGCACCTGCTCCACCAGGACTAGGGGACGGCAGGGACAGGTGTTGAAAGCGTCGAAGTTCTGCTGAAGCTTCCAAAAAAGATAAGGCTGCCATGAGAATCCATGAGATGACAGAAATGGCGGCATAGGGAAATGGGAGAAATGCTGATGATGCTGGAATCATGGTCAAAAGGTTTTGATAAGTTCAATAGTTCCTGAAAAATGTTCAATGCCGAAAAATGGTCAAAACAATTTCAAAGTTCGCTTTCCGAAGATGTTTTCGAAGTGATCTTGGAAGTTTGGTTCAAAGATATTCAAAGTTATCGACACGATTCGTGTGACACAATGTTCAACACAATGGACACAGGATCGGCCCTGGGCCCTGCCCCACGACTTGGCGGGCCCGCACCTGAGACAGTGACAGTGAAACAAGGCAAAAGAAAAGAAATGATCGAAGGAAGTTTAGAAGTCAAACTTCAGACAAGATGGACAGATGAAAAAGCAAAGGTGGGAAGAGTCAGAGAAGAGAAGAGAAGAGAAGAAGAAAGCATATCAGAGAAGAGAAAGAGTCAGAAAAAAGAAGATGCAGCCGCGCAAAAAGGTAGAAAAGTCGCGATTCACTGTTTTTTTTCAATGATTTGTGGCTCCAGGGGGTTCGAAAAGTAGGCTCGCTAGAGCGGCGGGTGCGGAGCCATCTGGCCGGATGAGAGCGTGAAAAATTGCACGCTGTTGTGGCGCGAAGCACATTTGCAAGTGGAAAAGCTAAAAACACCTCACGTTCGGAGCACTTTGGAAGTTGAGATGTCGAAAAAGTGCACGCCGTGAGGGAGAAGCGCATTTCGAAGTCAAAACGTACAAAACACACCATGCTCGGACCACTTTTGGAAGTTGAGATGCGCAAAGCACATTTCCAAGTCAAAATGCGCAACGCACACCAGGTTCGGGACACTTTTTTGAAGTTGAGATGTCGAAAAAGTGCACACTGCTGTCGTGCGCAGCACATTTCCAAGTCAAAATGCGCAAAGCAAACCAGGTTCAGAGCACTTGTTTGTAGTTGAGATGTCGAAAAGTGTACGCCGTCGTGGCGCGAAGCACATTTCAAAGTCAAAAGTGGAAAAAACTGACGGTCTCAGAGCACGTTTGGAAGTTGAGATGTTGAACAAGCGCACGCCGTTGCGGCGCGAAGCACATTTCCAAGTCAAAATGTTGAAAGCAGCACATGTTTGGACCACTTTTGAAGGTTCAGATGCGGTTTGGCATGGCAGGCGCAAGGGATTCTGCACCTTGCCAAAAGTGAGTAAAACGTGAATGGTTTGTAGCAGTTTCAGCTACAACCACCACTACACTACATTACACTACAAAGACTACAACTGCTACAACTACAACTACGACTAATTACGGCTACGACTATGACTACAACTACTACAACTACCAGTAGTACCGCACAAGGCGGTGGCGGAAGTTTCAAAAATAGGAAACCTATAGAAGAGGTGAGTTGTTGTGATGCATGGATGGCAGAGCGAATCCACTGATGGACTGAAAGGTGGTTGGAGTTCCCCACATTGACGTGTGGGGTTTTTGTTTTTAGTTCTGTATCCGCCGCCTCGCCCGCCCGTCCTCCTCCTCCTCCTCCTCACTCCTCACTCACCTCACTCACCTCACTCACACACACACACTCACTCACTCACTCAGTCACTCACAGACACACACACACACACTCACACTCACACTCACACTCACTCCCTCACTCCCTCACTCCCTCACTCACTCACTCACTCACACTCACTCACTCACACTCACTCACTCACTCACTCAGTCACTCACACACACACTGGACTGGTTTTAAGAATTGGAGCTGGTTCCAAATTGGTCGCGTCGAATCGTGCGGATAGTTCGTTCTGCAGGGTTTTAACTTAAAAGATTTGGCAATTCCTACCTGGTAGACCTTGTCAAGGCTGTATCCAAGAACGCAAGGTTGAAGAGGTCGAAAAGGTCGAAGCGGTCGTGAAACCAGATTTCAAATTGCAGTGCAACAGCAAAAAAATCGCTTGCTGAAAATGGATAACGGAATAGAAAACAAACAGCGCATGAACAGAACCGAAGTCAACAGTTTTAACCAGTTTTTACCAAGCAGGTACACAACTGAGCGTCCTCAGTTGCTTCCCCTTCAGTGACACAGCTTCGTTGGGCAAGGTAGTCACTGAAGGCCTTGCCCCCCTGCATGTGTAGTTAACCATTCCCTGTGCTAGAAGGGTTTACACACACACGCCCCACGACGGGGCAAAACTTGCTATGACAAGTGTGAGCGCATGTAATTTGTAGAATGGCGCTAGCTACGATCGAACGAAAACTGCTCCAAAACTGCTCTATACCATGATTGGGTGTGGTAGGCGCCAGAATTGGCTGCTGCAGTAACAGAAACCTTGTTGGATGAACCTGCCAACCCTTATACCTGGGTAACGCCATGACTCCGAAGGACGCGCGTAATGTCCGGCGAGAAGGGGCAACAAAGTTTCGTGCGTTTATTTCGACCTAGATCCTAGCGCACTCAGTGTCAAGCACGCTTGTGACGCCACATGTCGCACGAAAGCATCTATTTAATAAATTGTTCGTCTATTTAAACGTGAAATCCTGGGTTTTTCGGCTTTGCCCAGTCGCCATCACCTGTAGATGATTTAACGGATCAAAAGAAATGTGACCGTCATATCCGTCTGTGGTATCACATGTAAGGTCAGCGCATACGAAGTGTTCATTTCAAAACATGTAAAACTAGACTGACATCCTGGGTTTTCGGCTGTGCCCAGTCGCCATTATACGAAGTTTTCGTTTCAAAACTTGTACAAATTAGTCTGACATCCTGGGTTGTCGGCTTTGCCCAGTCGCCATCACAGGAGATTTGCGCACTAAACCATGCACGTATAAACTGACATCCTGGGTTTTTCGGCTTTGCCCAGTGGCCATTAGATGACAATTACGCGTCAAACATGTAAAAGTGATAGACTGACATCCTGGGTTTATCGGCTTTGCCCAGTCGCCATTATACGAAGTGTTCGTTTCAAAACATGTATAAACCTAAGCTGACATCCTGGGTTTTCGGCTTTGCCCAGTCGCCATTATACGAAGTTTTCGTTTCAAAACGTGTACAAATTAGTCTGACATCCTGGGTTTTCGGCTTTGCCCAGTCGCCATCAAAGGAGATTTGCGCATTAAACCATTTAAAGTAGACTGACATCCTGGGTTTTTTCGGCTTTGCCCAGTGGCCATCAGACGAAATTTACGCGTCAAACGTGTAAAGTTATAGATTGACATCCTGGGTTTATTGGCTTTGCCCAGTCGCCATTATACGAAGTTTTCGTTTCAAAACGTGTACAAAAAGTCTGATATCCTGGGTTTTCGGTTTTGCCCAGTCGCCACCAGATGAGATTTACGCGTTTAAACACCCCACAAAAGGACAACACCTAAAACTTTCAAATTATGGGGAAAAACAAAACTTGGCATAAAGCAAACATAGTCACGATCTTGGTTTTGATGCATTTTAGCTGCATGTGTTCTCTGAACTATTCTCCTTGTCTCTGACTGCTTGTGGCTTTGCCTGAAGTTGGACGTCCCTTCTAGGGTGCTTATGGTCTAAGCCTGCACGAGCTCTTGTTTGCATGCCTCTCAGCTGCCTTGGCATTTCGAGCCTGAACTGGGTCTCTGACCTGTCTTGTTTGCACACTACCCCTGCAACACAGAGGTATGGAGCCCCCCCGGACTATATAAGCCGGGGCGACATTAACACACTGGACTGGTTTTAAGAATTGGAGCTGGTTCCAAATTGGTCGCGTCGAATCGTGCGGATAGTTCGTTCTGCAGGGTTTTAACTTAAAAGATTTGGCAATTCCTACCTGGTAGACCTTGTCAAGGCTGTATCCAAGAACGCAAGGTTGAAGAGGTCGAAAAGGTCGAAGCGGTCGTGAAACCAGATTTCAAATTGCAGTGCAACAGCAAAAAATCGCTTGCTGAAAATGGATAACGGAATAGAAAACAAACAGCGCATGAACAGAACCGAAGTCAACAGTTTTAACCAGTTTTTACCAAGCAGGTACACAACTGAGCGTCCTCAGTTGCTTCCCCTTCAGTGACACAGCTTCGTTGGGCAAGGTAGTCACTGAAGGCCTTGCCCCCCTGCATGTGTAGTTAACCATTCCCTGTGCTAGAAGGGTTTACACACACACACACTCACACTCACTCACTCACTCACTCACTCACTCACATTCTCATTCTCATTCTCATTCACATTCACATTCACATTCACATTCTCATTCACTCACCTGTGCATGCACATACATACACACACACCCACACAAACTCACCCACCATCACCCCTCCATCACTCTTATACTTCCTCTTCCCTTCTTGCTTTTCTATGCTCAGCCTACGTCTAGAGAAGTTGGTAACATGTGGGGTTATTCCGTCCTATAATTGTGTTTTTTGGAGTGGTTACAATGGTTGCAGTGGTCACTTGGTCGGTCACCTCACCCACAACTGCTGGATGTAGTCTGGTGTAGTGCAGTTGTAGTTATAGTTGTAATGTAGTGGAGTTGTACTTGTGGTGTGGTGTAGCTAGTGTATCGCAGTTGCAGTTGCACTTGCTGTGGTGTAGTTGCATTTGTGCAGTGTAGGGTAATGTAGTGTAGTGCAGTCTAGTGTAGTGTAGTGTAAAGTAGCGTAGTTGTAGTTGTAGCTGAAGTTGTACTTCGCGTAGTGTAGTGTAGTTTGGTGTGGTGTGGTGTGGTGTGGTGTCGTGTAGCATAGTGCAATGTAATTATATAATGTAGTGTACTGTAATTAGCGTACCGTAATGTAATTAGTCTAAATGAGTGTAGTGTAGTGTAATGTAGTGTAGTGTAGTGTAGTGTTATGTAGTGTAGTTGTAGTTGAAGTTGTAGTTGTAGTTGTAGGCGTAGGTGTAGTGTAGTGTAGCGAAATGTAGTGTAGTTGTAGTTGTAGTTGCAGGTGTAGGTGTAGGTGTCGTAGTAGCAGTAGTAGTAGAAGTAGTAGTC